CCTCTGATTAGCTTAACTATGTATACTAGTATATACATCTATAGTGTAGTTATGGTTCTTTGACTTTGACCTGAGATATATAAATTCAAATATAAAATTATATTTGTCATATTAGCTTTATATATATTAGCTTTAAACACAAACTATATTAGATATGTAGTTTATAGTATATATTGTATATTGTAGTATATAGTATATAACAGTATAGTAATATATACTATAAATACATATATACTATAAACATACATTGTATAACATACTATATTAGTATAACATATATTATATAGTACATGATATAGCAATTAAATTAGCTTTATGACTCTAAGACTTAAGGTTTATTTTATCTCCTTGAGAGGAAGTGGTGATATTTTTATTTTATCATGTGGGATTGAAGGAGTGCATTGTTTAATAGTGGAGAAAGCACTGGAGTAGAGGTTGGGGGTTACTGCTTGTGGTCCTGATGTTACTCATAACTGGATGTTACTCAGGATCGATCTCTCTCTCTCTCTCTCTTTATATATATATATACATCTTGAGAGGATTGGAGTCAGTCTTAAAGGGTTTTCCCCAAGATGTATTTCAGCTTTGCAGGAGAGTTTCAGCAGCAGTCTCAGTGGCTTTCAGTTATTGGAAAAGATGCACCTAGCCCTGGCATCTTCAAATAGAAAGTCCCCTGGCGCTCTCCTTTCTATTTCTCTCCCAGGGAAGGAGTCATGGGGTTTTCCTTTAGAGCTGTGGTCTTTTCCTTTATTGTCTCACCATCATTCTGCTTTAGATCCTGAGATGTAAATAACTGTTTAGGTAGAAACTATTTTGTTCACTGATGTATCCCAAGGACCTCAATTAGTGCTTGGCCTAGTGAACATAATATATAGGAACTCACAATTTTGTGGAAAGGCCTGTTGGAGATTTGTGCAGGGTGGGACACAGGGAAGGTAGCTTTGGTTAGGCAGTGTTGGGATGGAATGGGAAACTGGTGAGAGAAGGTGTTGGGATTTTTGAACTGGATTTCTGGAAAGGTGATTCCCTCCCAAGGTGCCAAAGAGGGGCAAAGGCAGGTGAGTGTGTGTAAAGTCAAAGAGAAGGCAATAAACAGGAAGCCAGTATGGGTGGAGAACAGGGTTTGAAGTATTATGGGAAAAGCTATGGAAGTTGAGGTTGGAGAGTTAGGCCATAACACTAGATGATGAGGAAGTCTTCAACACCATGCAGAGAATTTGGAATTTCCTGTTGACAGAAGGAAACTTGCAGGATTTGAAGCAGGGAGTGATGTAATCAGGTTTGTATTTTAGGAGGATTATCAATGGTGCCATGAATTAGAGCAAGGGACACGGGATTGGAAAGGAGATGATGGATTCATTAAATATTTAGGGGCTTAGGAAGTCATGGCTAAGAATGAGGGAGAGAGAAGAGTCGAGGACTATCCTACATTTTGATTTAGGAAATTCTATGGAGGTGGTCTCATTAATGAGATTAGGAATTCAAGAAGAGATTTTTGGTGAGCACCGATTCAATTTGCGATATGTTCAGTTGGACTGCTTGTAGTCTGAAGGGGAGGTGTCCAAAAAGCAATTCAGTGTATAGGTTTGTCTTCTGGGATACAGGTCTTGGCTGGAGATAATGGATTTAGAATTTATTCATTATCAATAACAGTTAAAAGTAAAGAGTGAATGAGAGTACCAAGTGAAAGAGCACTAGAGTGAGGAGAAAATAAAGGTAAAGAACAGGGTGTGGGCTCCTCTAGTATTTAAGGATAGGCGGGGAGAGGATGCCCACAAAAGAGATAAGATGTGGCCAGAGTCCTAGGACAGCCAGGCAGTGGGATGCCAGAAAAGCCAAGGGAGGGGCTCCCAGAAGAGGGAGTTACCAAAGGTGTTAGATGCTAAAGGGAACCCACATAAATTAAGTGATTTATAAATAGAAAAGTTTTTTTTATAGAAATATAAACATAAAAGTTATTTGTGTGGTCAGTGATGACTTTTACCAGAACACTTTCACTGCTGTATTGGGTTAGGGAAGGGAAATTGGAAGCAGGTCTTTGAGGGTTCAGGAGGGGACCACCCATTTACTTGACCCAGAACCCTGGGCGTCATGCTTGGTGACTTCTGCTTCACTCCCACACCTAGTCAGACACTGAGTCTGGCATGGAACGGGGTTTCTGAGTGTGACCTTGAGATTCAGGATTTCTGGGTTTGAATCCTGGTTTCACTCCTAGTGAACTTTAAAACCCAGGGTGAGTTATTTAAGCTGGCTGTGCCTGGCACACAGCAAGCACCCAGTGAATGTTAGCTGTGCTAAATCCTAAACATCTTTTGGATATGTTCTTCCTGGATTGCCATATAGTTTTTTTTTTTTCAAAACAACTTTATCATGGTACTAGAGGCCCAGTGCACGAATTTGTGCACAAGGGGCGGGAGGTGGGGGAGTTCCTCGCCTGACCAGTGATTGCGGCCAATTGGGGCCATCTCGCCCAGTCCCGATTGGGGCTGATCGGGGCTGGCCGGCCAGGAGGGAGCTGGGGGAGGGACCGTGGGAGGTTGGCCTGCTGCTGGAGGTGGTCAGTGCGCATCATAGCTACTGGCCGGTCATCTGGTTGTCCAGTCATCCAGTCGTAATGGTCACTTAGGCTTTTATCTATATAGATATATAGATAATATACCTATTATTAAATTTATCTGTTTTCTATATACAACACATTCTAATAAATTTACAAAATTGTACAGCTGTCACCACAATTTTTTTTTAATATATTTTATGAGTCTTTACAGAGAGGAAAGGAGAGAGATAGAGAGCCAGAAACATCGATGAGAGAGGAACATCGACCAGCTGCCTTCTGCACACTCCCCACGGGGGATGTGCCCACAACCAAGGCACACGCCCTTGACCGTAATTGAACCTGGGACCCTTCAGTCCGCAGGCCGACGCTCTGTCCACTGAGCCAAACCGGTTTCGGCAAAGCCACCACAATTTAGTTTTAGAACATTTTCTTCACCCCAATAAGCTCTCTCATGCCCATTTACAGTTAATCCCCACTCCCACCCCAGCCTTAGGCAACCATTTATCTACTTTCTGTCTAAATCCAGTTGCCTTTTCTGGGTAGTTCATAGAAATGGAATTAGACGATCTGAGGCCTTTTGTGTCTGGCTTCCTTCACTTTAATTCTCTTCTAGTTTTTTCTGTGTTGTAGCATATATCAGAACTTCATTTCTTTTTATTGCTGAATTGTATTCCATGGTATGGAAATATAATGTTTTGTTTATCCATTCACCAGTAGATGGACATTTGTTTGTTTTCACTCTTGCTATTATGAATAATGATGCTGTGAGCATTCCTGTGCTTGTCTTTGTGTGGACATATGCTTAATGGCTTCTTAATTGGTCCTCCTGCTTCTGTTCTTGTCCCTGTTTAATCTGTTCTATACACTGTAGCTAGAGTGATCTTTTGAAAATGTCAGTCTGATAGTGTCATTACCCTGCTTAAATCCTCCAGTAGTGCCCAGTCTGCTCCTGGATCAAGTTCAAACTCCTTAACTTGAAGGGCTTACTAAGTATTCAAACCTAATCCTCTTTCCATCTTCTCTCACTAAGCCCCCCTCCAGCTTCCTGCTTCAGCCATTGTTTTATTCATTCATATTGTTCCATTCATTTATTTAACCATTTATTCAGTTAACCAGGCTTATTGAGCCTCTGGGGATAACATAGTAGATAGGATAGCCACATCCTTGCTTTCATGGAGCTTTCTTTCTAGTGTGAAAGGAAGGCTGTAAACGAGAAAGCATCAGATAATGGTAAGTGCTATAAAGAAAACGAAAAGGGATGATATGATAGAACTGAGGGATGATGACTCAAATCTTCTAACATGAGTGTTTCTCAGAGCCTACGCCCTATTGCCAACTGCCTATTTGTTATTCCTTCCTTTTGGAGTACTCTTATCCTACTCCTCTTCCTAAGTCCTATTCAGCCTTCCCAGCCCCATGCCCAGCCACACTCCCAAAGCCTACCTAGATGCCCCACCCATTATGCTTTCTGAGTACTTCATCACAGACATCTGTCTCGAGTAGCACGCTTCATATTATATTTAAACTAGAGACCCGGTGCACGAGATTTGTGCACTGGGGGGTGGGGAGGTGGGGTCCCTCAGCCCGGCCTGCACCCTCTTGCTGTCCAGGAGCCCTTGGGGGATTTCAGACTGACTGAGGGAGCAGGCCTATGCTGGCAGTCATACATCCTTAGGGCTGCACGGAGGTGGGAGAGGCTCCCGCCACTGCCACTGTGCTAGCCACCTGTGAGCCTGGCTTCTTACTGAGTGGCATTCCCCCTGTGGGAGTGCACTGACCACCAGGGGGCAGCTCCTGCATTGACCATTGGTCTGCCCCCTGGTGGTCAGTGCACATCATAGTGACCGGTTGTTCTGCCATTCGGTCAATTTGCATATTAGCCTTTTATTATATAGGATGTCTAATGATTTCCTGTTTCTTCTTTACTTTAAGCAACTTGGTAATTGCTGAGTACCTAAAGTCTAGCTTAGTTCCTGGCACATAGTTGGTGCATAATAAGATCTGTTGAAGACTGATTGTGGTTAGTCTTGAGCAGGAGGGAGGACCATACCATTTCCTTTGGGACTGGAGGGAAGGAAGGAGCTAGGGCGCATTGCATGCATACATTAATTTGTAGGATTGGGGGAAGCAAGTCGAAGGAGTTCTGATGGCTTGCATTTTCTCAGAGGTTACCATTTAGTGCACAGTATAAAATGAGGAGAAGTTATTTATAATGAGCAATTAGCAGTGCATTAGAAGAAATAAAAAGTAGTGCTGTGGGGTGCATCTTGAAATCTTAAAACTGTTCTTACTTGCTTTTAGTTTTATAGCTATTAGATTTAGCCTAATTTCTTTAGGCCATTCATTATGTATTGATATAGATGATTAAATTACTTGAATGCTGTTGTACTGCTCTCTTTCTTGCTCTTTTATAATTGATTTTATTTTGATGTTGCTTTTTCAGCTTTCGGAAAATGTGATTGATCGTATGAAGGAAACATCTCCATCAGGCTCGAAGTCTCACCGATATTCTGGTGCTTATGGTGCCTCAGGTATATCAGAACTTTAATATTAGAATTTTTTTGGTAGACAAATCAGAAGTCGTAAAAATTCATTCGATAATCAAGATCTTTGGCCCGTCTCTCTTTAGTTATCTGGATGTTCTGCTTTTTCTAGGGAATATTAGACATCAGGATCTGGGTTTCTTTTAAAGTGTTTTGAACTAAAAGTAGAAGAGTCTGCTTTCAAACAGTGTTTTGGAAATTTTTTTTTCTTGTTCAGCTCCTGAACCCTCTGTTAGTCTTTGGAAGGTTATTTCATTATCTTTTTTTATGTAAAGTGGATTACTTACAGAGATATTAGAGATTGAATAGTAAATATTTATTAAAAAAATCAATTTAGAAAGTATTGATTTACTGTTTCCAAATTGTGAACTATCTCCCATGAGTTTATTTTCTAATACATTTATTTTCTAAGTTTATAAACAGTCTATTTCTTTATAGTCAGTCTTAATTATTGATGAAAATATGGTGTTAAATGAAATACATAGGGAATTTTAAGCCTCATTTTATCTGTGGATCATGCAGGATAAGTGAGTATTTCTCTTTCCTTTCCTCTCCCCTACCTGATCCATCTGCTCATCCAGCTAATATTTATCGAGCACCTGCTGTGTGTGGCACTGTTCTTGTTGCCCAATCCAGTGAATGGACATGTGGTTTATTGATGAAGTGGCAATGAGAAAATAGTCAGGATGGTTAATTGTGGACTAAATGAGAATTTTCTGTGTTTATTAGGGGTTGTGTGGTAAATCTGGCTACAGACTGAAATACATTGAGAAAAGTGAGATGCTGTCCAAATGCCATTCTCTTTTCATAATCATTAAGTCGTAACCATGAATTCAGCTTCTGATATGTTTACAGCAGAGAAGGTACCAAGATAGAGAAGAAATAGTTCCTGCCCCTTTGAAACCTCTCGTTTAGTGGGACCATTAGGAAGGCTTCACAGTTCATTAATGTTGGATAGAACGTGACCACTCGCTCCTGGCTGGAAACCCCTTCTTTGGCTTCTGGGCTGCACTCTGGTTTTCCTCTCACCTCACTTGCATCCTTAGTCTAGCCTCCTTTGCTGATTTCCACTAAGTAATCTCACCTTCTGAATAATTATGTAGATGCTGTGACTCCCCAAATTCCACCTAGCTTTGACCTCTCCATGCAACTCAACTGAGACATCTACCTACTTGAAGTCTCCACTTGGAGATCTTCCATTTAATCTAGCCAAATCCCCCCCCACCCCCGACTTTTTTTCCCTCTCCACAGTTCTATCTTTCCCAGTGAATGGTACAGGTAGTCAAGCCCCAAACTGGGGTTCATCCTGTTTCCTCTGTTACTTCTGACATAGCTAGTCTTGTCAACATCATCTCCAGAACATGCTGTCAACAGCTCCAGTCCAGGTAACCAGCTTCTCTTATCTGTCTTCTGCAGAGGCCTCTTCACTGGCCTCCTGCTTCCACGCTTGTGTCCTTAAGCTTTGCCTTGCACACAGGGGCCTTGGCAGTCTTTAAAAAAAACGAGTTCATGTCTCATCCCAGTGGTGGAACGCAGTGGTACATAGAATATAATTTTAACTACTTTCTTTGGCTTCTGAGACACACCATGACTTGTCTTTTTCTGTTTTTCCAACATCACCTTGATATATGGATATGGTTAAAATTGGGATTTGATCTGAAATATAATTTGTTCTAGGTAGATTTTTTTTTTTTTACCTAATGTGTTAAGGAGATAGGATGATGATAATGAAATGCTGATAAATATTACTTAAATAGTGTTTATTACATGCCAGCTACTCTGCTAAGTCTTTGATATATCTTATCTCATTTAGTCCTTATAACCCTTTGAGGAAGGTGCTGTTATTAACCCTTATTAACCCATTTTACATAGAAGGAAACTGAGACTTGAAGTGATTGTCTTGCTCACAGACATACAGCTGGTAAGCAATGGAGGTGGAAGTTGAATTCAGTCTGTTAGGCTCCAGAGCAAATGCTGTTAAATGTTAACCACTCTGTTTTATTGTAATTTGAATAACACCTTGCTCCCTTTGTAGAAGGGATGTGACAGAAACTAGTTGGAGGGGAAGAGCTGCCTTGTAGTGATGTTCTGCTTGAGTTCACGAAAAAACCTTCTATCTACAAGTGATTGTTGATGTTCGTAGCTTTTTTGTTGTTGTTGTATTGGTTTTTCATTCAATAGTGACTTGAAGGAGAGAAAGTGTTTTCCTTCTTGGTTGGCTTCTTAATCTGACCCTTTGAGAGAGTGGATGTGGGTGGGGAGGCTTTCTGTAAATGCTCATGGTGTGACCTGCTGGGCATGGCCCTGGCATTGTGACCACCTGGCTGTACTGAGGAATCCACCCCTTCCCTTTGCTGGGTTTGACATGACTGATGGACTCTCTGGTTCATGACCAGCCTGAGCACTGAACACTCTTTGAGCACCACCTTGTATTCTGTTGGTCAGGCTAGAACTACACTGTAAATGCTAGCCACTGGTCACCTGTGGCCTTAAGATTTAAATTAAAGCTAGTTAAAATGAAATAAAATAATTTCAGCTGCTCACTTGCACTGGTCACATTTCAGTGCTCAGTAAACTCATGTGGCTTGTGGCTACCATATTGGGCAAGTGTAGGTACAGGACAGTTTCATCATCACAGATAGTTCTATTGCACAGCTCTGGTCTAGACTGCATCAGTGCTCGGCGGTGTGACCTTCATCGGATGGTTTTAATGATGTGGTGACTGAGGTTATGGAGCTAGATGGCTCTGTGTGTTTGTGAATCTTGTTTTCTGCCTTTTCCACATCTCAGCTCCCCCAGGATTGTGGGTGAGTGGAAACACCAAGGAAGATTTCCCTCAGGTGTACTATCTTCACCTCAGTCTTTAACACAGCTTCCTAACTGCATGTCACAAGTGTGCTGGAGGTATTGATTCCTTAGACTCAGAGTCGCTGGGGAACACCTGTGTACCCTCATGTGTCAGATAAATTCCGTCTGCTTCACGTGAAAAAGACTCAACAAAACTAATAGTGCAGGTTCTTTGACTACATTTCTCTCACCTCTCCAACCCAGCCCTAGAAAAGAATGAAGATGTGCCATGCTATTTTGATCTTGCCTTAAGATAAGAATGCAATTAGACTACAATTGTGAAAATTAATAAAAAAGATTTCTTCTTCCTAAGAGTAAAAAAAATGTGTATAGCTGAAACCGGTTTGGCTCAGTGGATAGAGCGTCGGCCTGCGGACTGCTAGGTCCCAGGTTCGATTCCGGTCAAGGGCATGTGCCTGGGTTGCAGGCGCATCCCAGTAGGAGATGTGCAGGAGGCGGCTGATCGATGTTTCTCTCTCATCGATGTTTCTAACTATCTCTCTCCCTTCCTTTCTGTAAAAAATCAATAAAATATAAAAAAAAATGTGTATAAAACTAGAAAGTCTCAAAGTTTGTTCTCTTCAGTATTTGTCTCATTTGGGGGTCTTGTTAGTACTCAGTAATACATTTCTTAAGATGTATAATTCATATGTGTTACAGAATAATATTTCAAGTCTATAGAAATACATTGATAAAAATGTCACTAACCTTTTCTACATTTTTCAGTGTCAAGTGAATTATATAGTAAATGTGAATTGAAATTCTAATATTTATCAAAATGCTTTCTTCCTCACAAAACTGTAGTTCATATCAACCCTCGGCTATTCATATGTGTGAGTATAGGGCAGTGGATTTGATGGAGGGAGATTCCTAGAATTTATTATATAGGAACCAACTTTTGTCATATTTATAGTTTTAAGAATATAATTTATTCTGTAAGAAAGTGAGTTACTCTAAAGAGTTTACTGAAACTATTTTTTTGCCAAACCTTGAACCAGATCAATGACTCGTTGCAATAAGTATTTGCATGTTCAGGCAAAATAATATACTGTGTGACACATGGCAGATTGTAATGCCACTTTAATAAATGAATGTGCTCTAAAGAAATTAACTGTGTCCTTGCTGCCTCAGATTCTTTGCTGTGTAATGTGTTATCTCAACTATATTGGTTTGCTTTTATAATAGGGAATTTTTGTTTCTTTTGGCTGTCATAGGGTATGCCATCGCACATAGTTAAAATCTTACCTTTTCATTAACATCTTGCCATCTTTTGATTTTACTTTTTTATTTTTAATTTTTATTGAACTTATTGAGGTGACATTGGTTAATAAAATTATATAGGTTTTAGATGTACAATTCTATAATACATCATCGGTATATTATACTGTGTGTTCAACACCCCGAGTCAGGTCTCCTCCCTCTTCTTCTTTCCCCCACCTCCTTCCCCTCTGGTAATCACCATACTGTTGTCTGTGTCTGTGAGTTTTTGTCTTTCTTTTTTTTCTTGGTCCCTTCTCCTTTTGCACCGAGCCCCACAACCCTCCTCCCCTGTGACAGCTGTCAATCTGTATCTATGAGTCTGACAGCTGTCTGTCTGTTCTCCGTATTTATGAGTCTGTTTCTATTTTGTTTGTTAGTTTATTTTTTCATTAGATCCCACACATAAGTGAAATCATATGGTATTTGTATTTCTTCAACTGACTTAATTTCACTTAGTGTAATACTCTCCAGGTCCATCCATGCCATCACAAAAGGTAAGATATCCTTCTCTTTTTTACGCCAAGTGATATTCCATTGTGTAGATGCACCACAGCTTTATTATCCACTCATCTTCTGATGGGCACTTGGGCTGCATCCAAATGTTGGCTATTTTAAATATCGCTGCAATGAACATAGGGATGCATGTATTATTACAAGTCAGTGTTTCCAAGTTTCGAGGATGTATTTCTAGAAGTGGGCTCGCTGGGTCATAGCAGCTCTTTAAGGTTCATTTAGACATAACGCTGCAGGGAGAGGTCACCGTAAACAAGCTGTGCTTATTCCTTTGACTTGAGTTACAAGAACTGAAGGCAGTGGTGATATCAAGGTTCCTAACTTTTAATAATCTGAAAATTTGTTGATGCCAGTGTCTCAACTCTCCACTTATTTTTGTGTGCTGTAATAGATAATGTGCCTGACAATTCCTAAAAGGAAGAAATATATACAATATCAATTTAAAGGTGTGATTTAAATGAAATTCTCTAGTTAGTAGTTTGTTCTTAAAAAGAAATCCATAAACAGTCTACTTTTAATGGATGGTTGAACTCCTGCTGTTTGCTCCATCAGTCAACAAGTATTAGCATGCAGTGGTTTTTGACTTCAAGAGCTCTTCGTTTGGTGAAAGCATATTTAACATTATTGTGTAGTAAATTAAGACTAGTGTAGTACCCTTCACCTGCTTAGTTAATGTTTTTGAGTAGATTAATGAATATGTAAGTGACATAAAATATATAAGAGACCTAGCAAGTGCTTTAGGGATTCAGAGGAAGAAGGTCAAGAGCAGGAGCAGGCAGGCCATCAGGGAAAGTGGACTTGAGCCAGACCTTGAGGATAAAAGGGATGGGGGTGTTGTGTTCCTGGCAGAGGCAGTACACAGACCAGATTAATTCAGATAAAGAGTGCATGTAGGTATCTCATGGGTGGGCAAGTTGGGCAAGTTAAGGAGCTTACTTTTATACTGTGGGGCCCAGTGGCTACTGAGCAAGTTTGTTTAATTTTAGGATGCAAGTTTAAAAAGTTGCATTTGTTGCTACTTTTTAAATATACTCAGATATTAATAACTTTTTTTTTCAGACTCACCCGAGGATATGTTTATTGATTTTAGAGAGCAATAATAGATACAGAGGCAGAGCTGCCTCAAACAGATTGTCAAACTGCAGTGGGAAGGCTGGGGAGGGTTGGGGGGCAGGAGGCGGGCGGGGGAGAGAAACACCGATGTGAGAGAAAAACACCAATTGGTTGCCTCCCAACCTCGGTATGTGTCCTGACCAGGAAATTGAATCCACGACCTGGACGATGCTCCAACCAACTCCACCAGGGCTTAGTGACCTTTTTATAGCCCAAAATGCAGTGCTGATTTTCTCATTGACATTTTTATATTTAACAAACTAATGGTAAGAATATGTTTTCACCACAGTACTACGTAAAACCATTTTCATGAATAAGATAAGCAACCCTGTAAGCATTTTTATTTGACCTTAATTGGCTCTATAGCAAAAAAAAAAAAAAAGGTTGCCCTTAACTGTTGGAGGCAGTGTAGGGTACAACCTATGATTCCTGAGCAGGGAGGTGAAATGATACCAATGGGCTTTGGAAGGATCACGTACAGGATGAGTGGGGAAGCGCAGGCAGGGAAGACAGAGGCCACATGATCGAGGGAGAAGTGGCAGAGGCACAGAAGTGTCGAGTGGATTTGGTGGCAGAGGCCACGTGGCTTGTTAATGGCAGTCCCTGACTCACACTTCAGTCCTTTCTCTCCTGGGCCAGGGCACTTTCCTCTGTGCCATTTGACTCATCACTCTTTTTGTGGTATTTACTTTTGAGAAACCAGCACACACTTAAACTCACTTTATTTTAAAATTGAGAAGAGAGCACAGGAAACTTTAAAAAATGGAACAACGGATCATTGACAATGAGGTTAATATTCCACGGACTTTGGCTGGTGAAAGGGGCGTCACGCAGAGAAGGAAAGGCTGCCGCAGTGGAGGGGAGGAAAGGAATTATGGAGAGAGCAGCTTCGAAAGTTCTGCAATGCTCGTGTCTCACTATCAGTAGTTCTGTGGCTTAGAGCTTGGATTTCTTGGTTGACTGATTGACCACTGGCCTCAGTTGCTTATTATACCTTCAGAGGCCCCTGTGCCGTGACTACTGTAGCATAATTTACTTTCCAGTAGTGCTTCCAAGTCGAATGAAATCAAGTGGGTCAGAGATTCCCTGCTTGTTCCAGAGTTGCTAGAAGAAGCAGCTGTTTTGCTAGGTGCGGTGCACACTTATATCAGAAATCTAGTAATGCCACGGGTCACAGGACTCCCAACCTCGGTATGTGTCCTGACCAGGAAATTGAATCCACGACCTGGACGATGCTCCAACCAACTCCACCAGGGCTTAGTGACCTTTTTATAGCCCAAAATGCAGTGCTGATTTTCTCATTGACATTTTTATATTTAACAAACTAATGGTAAGAATATGTTTTCACCACAGTACTACGTAAAACCATCACTGGAAGGAAGTCCCTCAGTGACCACAGGGAAAAGAGAAGCTCTATTGAAGAAACTCCATTTTTTGCTGTAGTAGATTCACTAAAGTGAATTGTGGGATAGCGGATTGTATTTTCTTATAGAACAAGTGTTATTGGGCATAACAATCAAGAATGTCATGGGTGTCACCAATACTATATCATAAGCTACAAAGAGATAACAACTGTAAGGTAAAAATTGTATAATCATGCTTTAAGGCTTATAAAATAAAATAAAATCAGACATTGGTTATATAAAGCAGCTCTAAGAGATCACATAGCATAGGACAGACAATAGATAAAAATGGTATTTTTGATGTAAATGTAATATGCCATTAGTAATAATGCTTGATTAACAATATTTGTTGCCTTTCTTGGCATTTGATAGACTTTGAGGGCATCGTCTGGATGGCCTAGAGATCTTAAATTGCCCAAAGGAGTTTCAAATGTGCATTTTTCTGCCGCAAGCAGAGCTTTTCAGAATCAATCCATTGACCCTTCCAGCTGTCAACCAAAGAGTAGGTTATTGTTGTTGATGATGATGTTTTCCTTGTAAAAAATCATTTAAAAAAGTAGGTCTGACCCAGCATTTCATTTCTTCCCTTTACCCTGTCTCTTCTGTTTATTCAGAATTATTGGTACAGCGCTCTGTACTGGTCCAAACCTGTGCTACCAGGGAACAATGAGTGCCTTTAAGTCCTTTTAAACTTGTTCTGCCCCCAGGCTGCGTGACACTTTGTTGACAGCTGCCACTGCAGTTGAGTGTTCACCGAAAAGCTTTGGGAATCCATAGGGATAATTGTGGTAAGGTTCTTCAGATTGTTCCACAGAATTGCTCTGACACACTTACGACAGTTCTGGTTCTGCATGCCCTCTGTCCCCTGACTGCATGGTTAATTGAAATGTGGGTTTTAATTAGCTTGCATCAAATGATTGGGGTTTAAAATTATAGTACAGGGTAGTAATGATAAGTATCTCCTCATTTAAAGGTGTAAGGTGATGAGAATGCCTCACAGAGTGTGTGGTGGGGTGGTAGATGGCTGCTGAAAGCCCCTGTGGATTGACTCTGTTGGTGGGACTCACTTCATGCCCCCTTGCTCTCTTCTGATTGAGTTTTTTGCTGGCCCACCCTCATTGTCGCTATAGTTATGAGAGGGACAGCCACAGGTCTTGCTCTGTATTTGATGAGTAGCAGCAAGGTTCTGTATTTCCAAACATGGATGTGATAGCAAAACATTGATCGGCTGCCTCCTGCACACCCCCTACCGGGGATCGAGCCTACCACCTGGGTATGTGCCCTGACTGGGAATTGAACCTGCAACCTTTTGGTGCATGGGACAACGCTCAACCAACTGAGCCACACCGGCCAGGGCAAGATTTGATTTAAATAAAAATATTAAAGCAGTATTGAAGATTGACAGTTCGCCAAAAACATTTTTATTGTTTTATTAATGCAACCAACTGGGCTGTGGATTCTGAAGGTTGTCCTTATAATTATTTAACTGAATTATTTCAACAAATACTCTAACCAGATACCTGAAACAACCCTCAGTTCGCTGTCCTTCATGAAGCATGTTTGGCAGGAGGAGTTGGCTTTCACTCGGGTGTACGTACACACTTGCAGGCATGATGTGGCTGATCAACTCTGTTTTTTTCTGGTAGGAAAAATGAGGCTGGCTGAGCAGCTTTTGTTTAATTTTGTGGGACAACATAGATACCCATTGGGCACAATGTTTTTCTTTAATTTTTCTAAATAACATGTTGACTTCTGGGAATCTCACAAGATTGAGCTCATAAACTGCATTGGTGACATCTTTCTTTATAACATTTTTCTAAGAAGTTGCTTTAATATTCTTTCTCAGAAACTTTTTAGAGTATCTATTTTAAGATTATGGGAAGTTATAATCCTCTTTCATGATTAATTTTTGACCATTGACATATTTTATTAGTTTGTGTAGCAAAAGACTAAAAAACGTGAATTGCATTATATAAAAATAATGTTGTTTTTATCAAACCTGATAAACATATGAATGATAAATTGATCCTTCTAATTTTTTTTCCTGTCCTAGTAAACATTCTGCTTCTCCTGACATAGTCATTGTTTCATAACCCATGTTCATAATTTTGCAAAAATGGTTAAGTAAAACTTTTTAAAGCAGTGCTTTTAAAAAAATTGCTCATTATTGCTTACAGGGCTTTGAACTAAAACTTTTTAAGGCTGTGTTATATATATTTTGATTGGGAATTACTGTCTTATCTCTATCCACTTAAAATTCTTACAGTTGAGTTGTCACAGACACCTCCCTAGTACTCCAGCCTGCAGCCTCATTCTGATGTATTTTAGGAGGCCTGGTGGGTACCAGTCTAGGCAGACCCAGGATGAGGCTGCACAGGCCGAATGAAATCGCCACTTCCTCTTCGCCAGCAGTGATGTATTGTGATTGCCTGCTTTCAGAGAAAATGAACCCTAGTTTCTTCAAATAGGAAATGGGAAGTCTGCAGTCGAATTACCTCTAAATAAAAGTGTGTGTGTGTGTGTGTGTGTGTGTGTGTGTGTTTGCACTGTATGTTTAGTGTTCAAAGAGCTTTTGTCACTTAATAGTTGTGTGATCCTGTGTAAGTTATCTCAGTTTCCTCCAGGATAAAATGAGATGAATAATTTCACATGGTTGCCATGGAGACTAAATGAAACATAGCAGGTGATCAATAAATGTCTCCTTTTTTTCTTCTTTTACATAGCGTCTAGGTCTGTAACTTTACTGTCACCTTTCACACACTTCAGGTTCATTCTGCCAACCTTTCTGTCTACCCTCTTTGCCTTTCACTTTGTTTTCTGTGCCTTTTCCCCAACAATCATTTATTTAGACCTGGCTATGCGCCAGACACTATGCTAAGTGCTGGGGTTTCATGGATGAACAGAGCAGAGAAATGCACTGTGAGCTGGAATGGAGATACACATGTAGCATAAAGAACTGATTAGGGACTAACTCTGCCTGGGGAGGTCAGGGTAGACTTCATGAGAGAGGTGGTGATATTTGAGCTGAATATTGAAGGACGAACAGGAGTTTCCCAATCAGACATGATGGGCTTGATGGTGGGGCATGATGGGGAGGAGGGAGGACATTTCTTGGGAGAAAAATACTGGCTGCAGTGGTTAGAATAACAAAGGGCTTAGTGATTTTTGGATCTTATCAGAGCTTTATTCTATTGACCTATATTTCCTCTAAACTCACATGGTATTTAGTCTGTATTTTTCGCTTGGCAGCCACTACTTTCTGCATTAAAACAGTACTTATTTATGGCTATGTTATTAGCATCTTAACTTGCAGTTAGCTCCTTGAGGGCGGAATTAGACCCATTGGTGACCCATATGGCATATGTCTTACCTGTAAAAGGTGCTCAAGAAACACTTGAGAGTGCAGTGAATGCGTGGGAGGACCTGTGAGCACCCAGCTTCTTCACAGTACTTTTGACTTCAGAGTATTGTGTTCAGTGAAAGAAGCCAGTCACAAAAGACCGCATATTGTATGATCCCGATTTTATGAAATATCCAGTATAAGCAAGTCATTAGAGCAGAAAACAGATTAGTGGTTGCCTAGGGCTGGGGGAGGTGGGAGTGTGGGTAGCAAAGACAGGGAGTGACTGCTGATGTACAATTCTGTAAGTGTACTAAAACCATTGAACTGTACACTAGACAGATGAATTTCATGGCATATATATTTTATCTCAATAAAGATGTTAAAATACTTTTGAAATCTTGTCAGATTTTAAAAAAATATCTTCAAATGCATGCTGTTTTTTTTTTTCTATTTCCACAATATACACTTAGGGCTTTGCATTATCTGTTTCTTATGCTGTTTTAAGATTTGGGCTTGGGGCTCAGTAGGATGTAGGTGAAGTAGAGCTTTGGGTCTTCGGTGCCCCATAGAGATACGGGGGCATGTGGAAGGGAACCTCTGATGAGCTTATGCGAAGCCATCTCGTTCTCTGTCAAAGGAGCTCTGCGCTCAGATATGTATTTTAATATCAGTAGAGTGGCCCTTTGGATATATTTGAAAAATATATTTTTATTTTTCAAGTTTTTGAAGAAGTTGTCTTTAGGGGAGTAATGCTTTGCTTTGTCTTAATGAAGAGAAATATAGCATTTGCAGAAATACAGGAATGGTGCTATTTTTTTGTCATCCTCAGAATAAGAGAGGCTAGTTTGTTTTTGAGCCTGTTGAGCTTATATTCCTCATTTAACAGGTAGTTTGTTTTTTAATTAAAAATATTTAAAATTTATCTTTATTATTGAAAGTATTACAGATGTTCCCCCCCACACATTGATCCCCTCCCCCTCCCCTGGCACGCCCCTCCTCCCTGCCCCCGCCTACTACACAATTGTCTGTGTCCATGGATTATAAAGGGTGTCCCAAAATTCACGCAAGTAATTATTTTGATAGAAAACACAGGTATATAATTAAAAATTGTAAATTTTTTATTGATCCATAAAGTAGACAGGATAGGGTTATGTATGGAATAGCACATCGGGTCAATGGCCTCCCCGGCTTTC